AGCCTAGAAGTAACAAATGCATGGATTAGTTTTTCTGCATCTGTCTGTGACAGGATGTGTCTGATGTTTGTAATATTACGTAGATGAAAGAAGGAAGTCCTATATATATATATATTACAGCCACTCTCTGTTTTTTTTATTATTAAATAATAAAACGATGAATTATGACACATTTAACTTTTTTAAATCAAATATCTTGTTAGAGATAATATTTAATCTCTATAATAAATAACTGAAGCAGACGTCATCACTGAATATCCCTCGCGGGTTAAAGAGGAGGGCGTTGGGTTTGATTGACAGTCGTTTCCACTTCCTGTCTCTGCTGCTCGGGGTCGTCTCGCTGTGGAGGAGGACGGAGCTGCTGCTGATGGAGCGCCGGCATCCTCTACTGATGAGGTCACTGAGGTTTGTGGTTGCCATGGCAACTAATGATGAGTCTCATTGCTGCATCTAATTAATTTATTAATAATAATTGATTACAGTCGTACATAAACGTCATATTACACCAGCTTCTTATTTCTGTTCCATCAGAGACACGTTGTGTGACGGTTGTTATACGTTAATAATAATAATAATATCATTATTATAGACCTCTGCCCTGTATCTACAGCACAGACCTATGCCCTGTATCTACAGCACTGACCTATGCCCTGTATCTACAGCACTGACCTATGCCCTGTATTTGTCCTGACCTCTGTGACTTAGGTATTATTGTCACATAAACTCAATCGAATCTTTATTAACGGTCTTTGAATATTGATCAGAGATGAGTGTTCCTGATATTCTTATACAGTTCTCGGTCTATATTATATATTTGTTATTTAACAATCATACATATTATATAAATTATTTTAAACTTAAAAAATTACAATTTCATTTAGTTTTCTTCACAGAAATTAAACTGCTGAGCTATAGGTCCGACCCTCAGGATGGGAACTACTGTTATAGTCATTTTTTATTTCTGTTGTCTTTATTTGCATATTTAACGTGTTACTTTAATAATATGATACTTGGATTCGGTTATATTTAATTATTATATTATATTATATTATATTTATTCTGAACTAACACTGAGCTCAATGGATCATCAACTAAAGGAAACTAAAATACACACAGACAAAAGGATGTGTGAGACAGACAAAAGGATGTGTGAGACAGACAGAAGGATGTGTGAGACAGACAGAAGGATGTGTGAGACAGACAGAAAGGTGGATGCTGTACTAGAAGCAGCCACAGGGCGGCGCTGACTTCCTGTCCCACTGTGTCTGTACTCTATATATTTAACACTTTAACACCTTTATGGATGAAACTTAAGTTCATTTCACATCCTTATGAGGGAGTATGGAGGACACTCAGTATCAGTTCAGGTTACATTATAGTCACTGAGATCAGAACCAGAACCATCTCACACATTCACTGATTCAACTATCAATCAGTTAATGTGAGAACAATCAATAATAAATAGAACCAGTTTAATACCATCAGACCTTCCTGCAGGACTCCAGAGACCAACAGAGAACTGAAGACAGACTGTAACCTGTCATTAACATACCTCTCTGCCTGTCTCTCTCTCCCTGTCTGTCTCTCTGCCTGTCTGTGTGTTAACGGTCTGCATTAAGCAGTCGTGATCAGATGGAGGAAACAGACTCCATTGATAAAAACAGTCATTTTACCTCTCAGAGACGGCCGCTGCTGCTCGACCGCTGCCTCCATCACTTAGTTAGTATGTGTTTTTGTGTGACTTTGGTCTTTTAACACAATCATTTAGATCCAAACTAACATCAGTTTCTGTGGCAGCCGTAGACCAGAAACTCTGTTCTGAGAGGTAGAAGTCTGGTGGCTTTAAAGAGAGGATAGATGGATATAAGGACTTAAGTTCCCCGTCAGAAAGAGCTGTCTGACACTGATACTACACTGCTGAGGAACGCAGCAACGCCACTTCCTGTTTGCAGTGTATGAATGGATGTACAGACAGATATTAGATACTGAAGAAAACTTAAAAAGGCTCTTATTCGTCTTTGTCTGTGTTTCTAAGTGGATTTATGGACCTTTATTTGTGATGGACATCAGAGACAATGATTGGACCGTACCTGACCATCTGCAGGTCAAACTTGATGGAGGTGTCCTCATCCGACAGCTGGTGCACGCTGAACCGCAACTCTGCCTGGACCTGACCAATCACAGCACAGGAAGGTAATTAGTAGGTTCATCTTCACAATGTGCTTCCTGCTTTTAACTATCTACCTCTACAGGTTGCCTTCTTCATCATTTATCACTTTACTCGACATCATCAGTAAAAGCAGGATCCCCCAGCATGAGGAGAGCTGACACTGACCTTGGTGCCTCCCTTCATGGGGTTTCCCAGGTCGCACACCACCATCTTCGTCTGGTTCTCTTTCTTGTAGGCGCAGGAGAGCCTGCTGTGGGTCTGCAACACAACAACACAACCAGACTGTAATGTTGTCATCGTCGTTTCCCTTCACCATCTAAATCCAAAAGGTTGAAAAGCAGGTCTTTGTTTCCAGCTCCAGTTTTCAGTTTCCCTGCTTGAACCTGCTGCTGGTGAAAGTGTGTCTGAAACAAATACTGAGCTACATTCTGACCGTCCAATAAATCTCATTATGGTGATATCACTGCACTGATTATCTCAGAGGTTCAATCATGGGGGGCTTGAATGAGGACTATTTATAGTTATATATTTCTGTGAATGTCTGTTAATGAATGAAGTCCCGTTTGGTGAAGGAGGGGAGCTCTGTATGTAACAGGCGACGCTACCTGACTGCGGACGACCCCGGTGAAGTCGGCCTGCTGAGGAGGGTATACGTGGAGTTCGGCCTCGTACGCTCCCTCTCCCTGGTTCTCAGCGCTGATCTCCAGAGTCAGAGCGTTATCATCGCCGATGTAGATCTGCTGACGGTCGCTGGACCACAAAACAAATGAAATGTTTCAGGCTCTTTCTAAGACTCACACAGTGTTCCTGATGAAGCATCAGGTTCATTACAGGTCGGTGGTC